CTACAAATAAACAGCAGAAAACAATTTGGCTGATAAGTATTTTATTATATACATATTTTTGTTTTTAATAAAATATTGCAAAATATGTAATAGAATGCAAGTTTTTTTGTTATTAAGTTTTATGCCACATCATACAAATATAAAATAAATTACATTTGAAAAACATTTTTATGACATCAATATAAAACTGCAGGTGGCAGTTATTTAGAAGATTTTGAATTTTATGTTTTTTAAAGATAAATTTCAAAAATATTTATACAAATTCGCTAGTATTTTACAGAGGCCACCCGAACTTAATTTATTTGTTGTTTTCAACAATAAAATTTATTCAAATGGAACTATTTTTTTCTGGGGAAAAAAAAAGAAAAGGCCCCCACCTATTATCCCCACATGTAACGCTTGATTGATCATTTATTGTGCCAAATTTTATAGTTTTAAACGCATTTTTTAAGCTTTCTACTGTGTTGTTTGTTTTCACAGATTTTATTCTTTGTCATTGCCATCCATTAAAAAAACGGTGTCGTTTTTATATCACATTTTAATGGTCATGATATCATTTATAGATATTTATCTTTGCCTTAACCCGTTAGGGCGCCATGTTTGCTTGGAAATAATGTTTTTTTAATGATAGATAAAAAAACCACTGAAAATTAAATTTTAATTATCGTAACTGAGAAAACTTGATTAATCAATGTTAATTAAATGTGTTTATAGTGATCTAAGTTGGCTTAGGAATGTTGTTGCACGATAATCATGCTGTTATGAGTCGTGGCATTTACTTAAGTTTTTTTTGACAATATTTCCCTCTCAATTGCAAATAGTTGAACGACATGAATATAAAAATATTAAACTTTGAACTTAAATTTCCAATTCATTCATTATTCGCAATAAAAAAATAATAACTGCTATGACATTCAATTCAAAAATATGATTTATCAAAATTACTGTTCACAACTTTGTATTGTATTTCATTGACACCAAATCCTATGACACAATCATTTGCATAAATAAAGTTTTTAAAATTAATATATTTTGTATTTTTTTTTTTTGCACAAAATTGTAATAACTTTAAATAATAAAATATACAACAATTAACAAAACCTTCAACACAAGTTTAAAAAGTAATGTTATTTCTTAACAAAAAAAAAAAATAAATAACTGTAAATCAATAGTATTTAAAAATTTGACAGATTTGGGACATACAAACACTAACGAGAATGTAAACATGTAATGGCAAAACAAAATCCAAAACTTACATGTACGTTTTTCAGTATCTTTGATAGGCTGAACTAAAAAAACACACAACTTTTAGAAACAAATGTTTTTTTGTTCTGTTTTATTATTTTAAAAGTTGTACAACAAAATAGAATGGTTTTAAATAAGGTTATATATTTATATTTTCATGCCTAGTAAAAGGGATGCCAATACCAAAAAAGCTTTCAAAGGCTTTTAAAATAATAAATTTTCTATCTATAGAAAATTTTTCATATTTTCGATAAATTTTCTTTTTATAGAATTTTTCATACTTTCGATAAATTTTCTTTTTATAGAAAATTTTCATATTTTCGATAAATTTTCTTTTTATAGAAAATTTTCGATAAATTTTCCTTTTATAGAATGTTTTCGATAAATTTTCCTTTTATAGAAAGTTTTCGATAAATTTTCCTTTTATAGAAAGTTTTTGATAAATTTTCCTTTTTTATAGAAAATTTTCGATAAATTTTCCTTTTATAGAAAATTTTCGACAAATTTTCCTTCTATAGAAAATTTTCGATAAATTTTCCTTCTATAGAAAATTTTCGATAAATTTTCCTTCTATAGAAAATTTTCGATAAATTTTCCTTCTATAGAAAATTTTCGATAAATTTTCCTTCTATAGAAAATTTTCGATAAATTTTCCTTCTATAGAAAATTTTCGATAAATTTTCCTTCTATAGAAAATTTTGGATAAATTTTCCTTCTATAGAAAATTTTCGGTAAATTTTCCTTTTATAGAAAGTTTTCGATAAATTTTCCTTTTATAGAAAGTTTCGATAAATTTTCTCTTTATAGAAAGTTTCGATAAATTTTCTCTTTATAGAAAATTTTCGCTAATTTTTCTTTTTATAGAAAATTTTCAATAATTTTTCTTTTTATAGAAAGTTTTCGATAAATTTTCCTTTTATAGAAAGTTTTCGATAAATTTTCTTTTTATAGAAAATGTTCGATAAATTTTCTTTTCATAGAAAATGTTCGATAAAATTTATTTTCATAGAAAATTTACGATAAATTTTCTTTTCATAGAAAATGTTCGATAAATTTTCTTTTTATAGAAAATGTTCGATAAATTTTCCTTTTATAGAAAGTTTTTGATAAATTTTCCTAGAAAATGTTCGATAAAATTTATTTTCATAGAAAATTTACGATAAATTTTCTTTTCATAGAAAATGTTCGATAAATTTTCTTTTTATAGAAAATGTTCGATAAATTTTCTTTTTATAGAAAATGTTCGATAAATTTTCTTTTTATAGAAAATGTTCGATAAATTTTCCTTTTATAGAAAGTTTTTGATAAATTTTCCTTTTATAGAAAGTTTTCGATAAATTTTCCTTTTATAGAAAGTTTCGATAAATTTTCTCTTTATAGAAAATTTTCGGTAATTTTTCTTTTTATAGAAAATTTTCAATAATTTTTCTTTTTATAGGAAATTTTCGATAAATTTTTCTTTTATAGAAAGTTTTCGATAAATTTTCTTTTTATAGAAAATGTTCGATAAATTTTCTTTTCATAGAAAATGTTCGATAAATTTTCTTTTTATAGAAAATGTTCGATAAATTTTCTTTTTATAGAAAATGTTCGATAAATTTTCCTTTTATAGAAAGTTTTTGATAAATTTTCCTTTTATAGAAAGTTTTCGATAAATTTTCCTTTTATAGAAAGTTTTCGATAAATTTTCCTTTTATAGAAAGTTTTCGATAAATTTTCCTTTTATAGAAAGTTTTTGATAAATTTTCCTTTTATAGAAAGTTTTCGATAAATTTTCCTTTTATAGAAATTTTTCGAAAAATTTTCCTTTTATAGAAAGTTTTCTATAAATTTTCCTTTTATAGAAAGTTTTCGATAAATTTTCCTTTTATAGAAAGTTTTCTATAAATTTTCCTTTTATAGAAAGTTTTCGATAAATTTTCTTTTTATAGAAAGTTTTCGATAAATTTTCTCTTTATAAAAAATTTTCGATAAATTTTCTCTTTATAGAAAATTTTCGATTATTTTTCTCTTTATAGAAAATTTTCGATAATTTTTCTTTTTATAGAAAGTTTTCGATAAATTTTCCTTTTATAGAAAGTTTTCGATAAATTTTCCTTTTATAGAAAATTTTCGTTAAATTTTCTTTTATAGAAAATTTTCGATAAATTTTCTTTTTATAGAAAATTTTTGTTAAATTTTCTTTTTATAGAAAATGTTCGTTAAATTTTCTTTTTTATAGAAAAGATTTCGATAAATTTTCATTTTATAGAAAGATTTCGATAAATTTTCATTTTATAAAAAATGTTCCTTAAATTTTCTTTTATAGAAAATTGTTGGTAAATTTTCTTTTGATATAAAATTGTTGGTAAATTTTCTTTTTATAGAAAATTTTCCATAAATTTTAGTTTTATAGAAAATTTTCGATAAATTTTCTTTTTATATTTTCCTATATCTTGGCATCCCTACAACCAAATGATCTTAAAGGCAATTAATAACAAATTTCATAAAATTCAAAAAAAAAAAATTAGCGACTACGTTAACAAATTGAAAATGACTACATGAGAAATTACTTTAAATGAAAAATCTAAGTTTTTTTACAAAAAATCTAGTAATATGTATGTGTGTATGCATACATGTGTTGTTTGAAGTTTGTATCAACAATTAATTCACATTTCGAAAAATTTTGACACTTACAGTAAGATAACTACAAACATACATCATTGTTGCATAGAATATGCATAAAAATATATTAAATAAAAACATATCGAGTTTTTTGTATTGTAAAATAAAGATTTATATTTAAACAATGCCGCATATAAGGGCATATAAACCATTTTATAAATATTACAAGAGACTAATAAAAACGTTTTATTACAATTTTTTTTTTCCTTTTATTTAAAAGTTCTAACAGCAACATTTCGTAAAGGTTATTGACTTCTTAGGGAATGTTGTTGAATAATATTTTTTTTTTGCAGCCAATGAATTAATGTCTGGCCTATAATTTCTATTTATATTTAAATGTTTGTGTATTTACATCTGCTTGAAAAATCACTCTCCTCCATGTATTTGCATTTATAGTATTAAATGAGGGCATGTGTGCAGAAATCTGATTTGAAAATTAAACAAGTAAGAATTCCGCATTCTGGCTGGGTCGATTGTTTTTATACACCACCTATCGCCAGTTTGTTTTATGAATAAGTAATTTATGAATTTTCTAATTTTATAAAATTTTTTCTATGAATTTTCTGTTTATAGAAAATTTTGGTTTTATGTTATACTTATAGAATATTTTCGATGAATTTTTTATTTTCTTATACAGAAAGTTTTCTATAAAGTTTTCTATTTATGGGATGTTTTCTGCTGATTAGATAGGAATAGAGGGGAACTAAGCACTTCTACCCAAAGTAGTATCTTTGCAAACTACTCTTAATTATAGTTCAGCCTGATGCTAATAATCTTAATCGGCAAGTTGATAAAATGATCTGAATTAAGAACAAGTAGGATACCCTACACCATGAGTATATTTGGAAAATTATTTTTCATAAAGAAATTTTTATGTTGATGTATTTAAGCAATTTATTTATGAAAAACTAAATTTCTAAAAAAGGCTTTATAAAGGGTCAAATATAGGCCGATCCCCAACAAATTGGTAAGAGGGATATATTTTTATATAAAAGTTAGTTATGCTTAATTTCATCGCGATACTAATGGTTGTAAGTCAATTTTTGTACCCATAATCGACCGCCCATCATTGTAAAAATCGCCATTGTCAT